CCTCCCCAAATACTCATCATTTCCGTTTGGTATTGAATCGATGATGATCGAGTTCCTTGTGATAATTGCAGAGAGGGAGATTCGCTTCCTATCAAATCCGAAATGGTGACTTCTTCTGAATGCTTTGTAATCGAATTTTGATCTATCTCGATCGTTTTGAATGATCGTTTTTTAGTATCTGAAATCTCAGGGTTTACAAGAGGTTCTCGAGGATTCGGGACTGAGCCGACGATTGCTAATCTGGCGGAGAAATGTGCCATTGCACTACCGGAATGTTCTACAGAAGAGGATGAGATCGCGAAGATCCGGCACGAGTTTGAGCTGGCGAAACAGAGGTTTCTCAATATCCCTGAAGCGCTAAATACTATGCCTAAGATGAATCCTCAAGGTTTGCCTCTAACTTTTGTTTACATTTTTTGTTGTTGTGTTGTTTCTTTGTGCTCACTGATTTGATTTTGGTTGATACTTTGTAGGAATCTATGTTAATAAGAATCTCAGATTGGATAACATACAAGTTTACGGATTTGACTATGATTACACATTGGCACATTACTCCTCTGACTTGCAGAGTTTGATCTATGATCTTGCCAAGCAGCATATGATTAATGAGGTGATCTTGCGACATGTTCGTTTTTGTTCATTGTGAGAGTATTGTTTGAGAAGTATTGGTTCTTCATTCATGCAGTTTAGATATCCTGAGAGTTGTATGAAATTTAAGTATGATCCTACTTTTCCAATCCGAGGACTGTACTACGATAAACAAAAAGGATTCCTCATGAAATTGGATTTCTTTGGTTCAATCGAGCCAGATGGGTGTTATTTTGGTCGTCGTAAGGTATTGCTTCCTCTCTCTTTTGTCGTTTTAGCCCTTTCGAAGTGCTGCTTTCGGATGCAGGATTTTGACCCCTCTTCATATTTGTTATTGTGCAGCTTAGTAGGGAGGAACTAGAAAATATGTATGGAACACGACACATAGGTCGTGATCAAGCAAGAGGTCTGGTGGGATTGATGGATTTCTTCTGTTTCAGCGAGGTCAGTTTAATCAAGAAGTGCATTCGTACAAAGGATCTCTGTTTTATTTGATCACAACATTTATTTTTTACCTTTTTCCAGGCCTGCCTTATTGCAGACATGGTACAATATTTTGTTGACGCCAAACTTGAGTTTGATGCCTCTAACATCTACAATGATGTAAATCGCGCTATTCAACATGTCCATAGAAGCGGCTTAGTCCATAGAGGAATTCTTGCTGATCCTAACAGATATTTGCTTAAAAATGCAAGTGCAAGTCCTCAAACTTGCTTTTTAGCTAAGAATATATTCACTTTTGATTTATTATTTCTGAACAGAAAGTTTCTTCTCAGGGTCAGCTACTACATTTCTTGAGATCGCTAAAAGATAAAGGAAAGAAGCTTTTTTTGCTGACCAACTCTCCATACCATTTTGTTGATGGCGGAATGCGCTATCTGTTGGAGGTGATTCACATCATTCAATAGCCATAGAAATAACTTATTTTCCCTTCGGAGTCTCACTGTCAACTACATATTCATCATTCTCAAATTAGTGTGTCAACATTGTTCTTAGAGCAAATTCGGGTTTTGCCTTTGTTTTTAGTATTTATTGAAGTGGATCATGATCTCTATTGTTTATTCTTGCTGTTCATTAGGAGTCTTTTGGCCTCAAAGACTCATGGCGCGACCTTTTCGATGTTGTGATTGCTAAAGCAAACAAGCCAGAGTTTTACACATCTGAGCACCCTTTCCGGTTTGTTTACTTTAAGAGATATTCAGGAACGCTTATACTATATTCTTGTGCAGAATCTTTTTTTCTCATGGAATTTAATCGGTGACTCCTTTACTGCTATTAATCCTTGTAGTTGCTACGATTCTGAGAGGGATACTTTGGCGTTTACAAAAGTGGATGCATTTCACCCAAAGAAAGTTTACTACCATGGCTGTCTTAAATCCTTCCTTCAAATCACAAAGTGGCATGGCCCTGAGGTACCCTTTAACAAGCTGATATATTCCATTTGTTACTTTGTGTTTCAGTATGCATTTAAAGAAAACTACAACATGTTCTGCTCATAGGTGATTTATTTCGGAGATCACTTATTTAGTGACTTAAGGGGACCTTCAAAGGCTGGTTGGCGAACTGCTGCCATAATTCACGAGCTCGAGGTTAGTTTATTATACTTGATATATAGCCTTTTAGCTCATTGTATCCTCAAAAGAATTTGTACATCATTTAAAGCCCACAATTGTAACCTGAGTTCTCTATGTGATGGTTTTTGATTCAGCGAGAGATAAAAATACAAAATGAAGATAGCTACCGGTTTGAGCAGGTACAGCCACAGCTTCCTCTTTTACTTTTAATGGTTCATCTCAAATGGCAATCTGCTTATAGAATTTATGCATCCTGTACGGCGACCAAACTTCGTAAGTTGTTAGAGACGGCGTGGAATATAAATACTCTACTTGACGCAGAGACGCCCATGTTAGTCTAACTATAAAACTATTCCTTTTGCTTAAATTCAGGCAAAATTCCATATTATCCAAGAATTGCTCGGTAGATTTCACGCAACTGCATCAAACAATCAAAGAAGCGAGGCATGCCAATCTCTCTTGGATGAGCTGAACAAGGCGAGACAGAAAGCACGGGACACAATGAAACAAATGTTCAACAGATCGTTCGGAGCTACATTTGTCACAGACACTGGTCAAGAATCAGCATTTTCTTATCACATCCACCAATACGCAGACGTTTACACCAGCAAGCCTGAGAACTTTCTGTTCTACAAACCTGAAGCTTGGCTTCACGTTCCGTACGATATCAAGATCATGCCACATCATGTCAAGGTATGCGAAACCCGCGACCTAAAAATTGCCACATTTTCAATTCTTGGATTCTACTTGCGAATTTCGGAATTAAGGAGCTTAACTAACACTAACCAATTTTTTTCAGGTTGCTTCAAACCTTTTCAAAACCTGAGATGGGATACATTCCTCTAAGAACAGATAAACGGATCGATGAAGAATCGGATAGTGCTCAATCAAAAAAGAATGCAGCTTTCAGGTTTTGGAATTGGCAGAGAACAAGAAGGTTTGCAAATTTAATTTCAGATTCTTGCTGCTGCTTTGGCTGATGATTCTTTTGGTGCAAATGGGATATTAGATAATTCGTTTGCATAACTTTAACGTGGCCAACACTAGAAAATAAAGAAAGTTATAATAATCGATTTCTGGTATTTATCATTATTCATTATTCTTTTAAATATCAAATTCCGGAAGAGTTATTTTGCTTTACCTTGTAGTATGTATGACCAAAAGATTGTTGTTTGTTTCACGGTTTCAGACTTTCAGTGGTCACAAAAATCCACTACTTAGACTTGGAATGGACCAGGGATTGAAATATTATCTAGGATTCGACACTACCTAGATCCGGCTACTGTCTGATTCCAGTTAATAAAGTCTTCGATCCGGATAAATGTACTAAGAGTTCTAGTTAACGGATATTCCAAATTTTTAAGTAAATGTTTCAACTTTGATTGCATGAAATCATTAGCGGTATGTGAAAAGAAAATATACGGAAGGCGCGAAATTGACTTTTAAAAATATTTTATGAAAGGGATACATACATGTAAGTGAAGAGAAAGGTTTAGAATTAAAAACGCAAGAGTTCGCGTTTCTCTCTGACACAAACTTCGAGGCAGCCGCATTCCTTGAAGATGAAGACCAGCCACCAACGATTCATCTCCGACCTCTCCTCCTTATAAGCAAACAAACTGTTCCTTCACCGTCTGTCGACCAGTCCAGCCGCCGACGAAGTCTTCAGCAGATCTACGACACATGATTGGTGGCCGTCATAACCTAAAACTCGCCGCCGAATCCTCCGGACCTGCTGGATTCTCTTTCTCTTACCGTGTTGGTATTTGCTTCTTCCCTCGGCTGCTCCCTCATCTTCCACTAGCGGTTACAAAGCTAGCTCCTTCGCCCAGATCTCACAAGTATACTCTCATGATACCGGGTTTGGGTTCTGTTACTACGAGCTTCCTCGCTGTGAAAGTTCTCCGCGACGACAACTTACCTATCAGCTTTACATTCTCCAGCCTGCCGAATTCCTTCACCAAGATGGACCAGTTTGGTTGGTGGACCTGTTTTTTTTCCATTCTTGGCTATTAATCTACTCTTAATAGAGTATAATCTTTCTTTACCTTTGCACTTTGAAACTAATATACGCTGTTGAGCTCGATAGCTTCTGGGAAGATCAAAATTTTATGGATTCTCAAATCCTGTAATTTTCTCATAGTGGGAGAGAAGTCGTCCATATTCTTTCCTGGTCGGGAAGAAAACCATTCCATCCTTTTTTCTCTCATTGAGAGTAAGATTCTTCTCGGATTCAAAACCGAGCAATTTCCTAACTGATTTGTCTTCATGCATAGTGGTTTGTATGGGACCTGAAGATGCAACCGGTTTCGTCTTGACGAAACTCGAAGGTATGGGTAGTCTTTCAATATCACTGGTCAAAGTGACCAAATTTCTGCTTTTCGGCTTAGCTGTGAGTTTTATACTGACGCACCGAGAAATTTTCATTGATATGCTGTCGTATAATTATGATGTTGCTTATCTTTTGATCTTTATTGCTTTTATGTATTGTGATATGAATTGATGTAACTTCGAAGTTTAAGTTAATGAAAATAAAATATTGCACAAAAAAGGATATCTTATGTTATTATATAAAGTTGGATGCGTTCAATGAGAACTTGACACGTAAGCAAAATTATAACTCACGAGATTGTGTCGAATATTGATCGAGATAATGACATGTGTCAATCGTTATAAAAAATCTAAATAAAATAAATTAATTAATTTGAAAAGAAAGTTTACAAGATTAACATAAAAAAAAATTTACAAAACATCATAGTAATATATTATAGCTTTCTATTTTTATTCTTCATAAATTTTTTATTTTTGTAAACGAAGAAAAAAATGTAACTATATATAAAATTAAAAATTAACAAGTAAATGGAAAATAAATGGAAAATTTCAAATAGTTAAAACTAATTAAAAAAATAAAATATAGAGAAAATATAAGCCATATGAAAAATCTAAAAAATAGAAATATCAAATAAAACAAAAAAATAGACAAACGATAAACAAAAGAAAATATATAAATTAAAAATTAAAAATAGAAAAGATTTAAAAATCTCAATTTAAAAGGTTAAGATATATATAATCATACTACAAAAGAAAATAAAAAAAAATCTACAAGCATACTTAAAATTTTATCAATATGATCGTGATATATGTGTAATATTAATCGGATGATATGTGTTCAAACTTAAATTTTAATTAAGAAAAAATAAAAAATAAAAGTGGAAAACTAAAAAAAAATTATCAAATAACTAACCAAATAATAAAAAAAGAAAATTTTAATCATCTAAAACTAATTAGAAAAATAGAAAAATTTCTAATAGTCCAAACTTTAGGAGAAAATAAATTTTTAATAGCCTAAACTAATTATAAAAAAAATTAAGATAGATAATAGAAAGAATATAAACCATAAAAAGAAGAGAGAATATAAATTCCAATTACGAAAAATAAAAAGAGAACGAAATGTCAAACAAAATAGATTA